CGCTCGTCCAGCATGTGCACGCGTTTATAGGATGGAGGGCGGGTGAGTTCCAAAGTGTGGCTCGCGCCTTAGCGCCGCGCACACTCGTCTTCAAAGTTTGCAGGAGGTTCACGGATGGAGGTCGGCTCCTTGTCAACATGTGACTCTGCTGTAGCGCCACGCGCATTCGTCTTCAGAGTTTGCAGCAGTTTCGAGGATTGTCATGGTTAACGACGCAGAAATGATATTTTGGCACGACGTCGGAATGTCAGGGCGCAACAGTCACGTTGATTCGCGGTGTTGAGGTCCCAGGAATGCTGTTCTGGCACGATTCAGGATTGTCAAGACGCAGTAGTAATGGTGATTCGCTGTGCTGAAGTCCTAGGGGGAGTGTTCTGGCATAGTTCTGGATTTTCAAACGGTTGTCTTCCAACGGGGCAATTCCCTCAACGAATGAACCCTCGTAGGGGCTTGCGAAGAGGGAGCTTGGAGGGAGGGTTCATTGCAATATCCTTCTCTCCTTCTCCTCTCTCCTCCTCGCAGGCGCGTCCCAGACATGGTCGCGTCGCGAAAACTCTCAACGGGAGGCTGCTCGGCCGTTTTCGGCCTCGGCGGCCCCTCGGGGGGCCGTCAAGAGACGCATCGGGACGAAGCGCCAGCCCCGGCGAAGGGGTCGGGGCTTCGGGGGACCCTGCCTTGAAGCGGTCAAGGCGTCGGACGCCTGGGCATCCGCATCCAGCGCTGTCCGAGGCCCTCGGCGGCACGCCTCCAGATCGGTGGGCACGCGCAAAACAACATCCCCCCTCGGCGGGGTGGGCACCGCGAGGAGTTCCTGCACACCCACAGCGCGCCCGTCCTCGTCACCTTCCCGAAGCGGAGGGAGCACCAGGCTCGGGGGCAGCCTCAGGAGGGGGGGCATCGGCTCGGGGGGGAACGCATCGACGCCAGTCGCCGATGCACCGCCGGTGTCCCAGGCCCCCCCTCGGGTAACACACAGACACGACGGGAGGTTTTTGACAATCTTCGGCTACCAGGGGCCCTTGTTGCCAGGCTCCGGGGCCGTCAAACCACGATACTCGGGACGAAACACCGGCCCCGGGGGAAGGGACCGGGACACTTCTGGGGGACCTCGCGGTGAACAAATGGAGTATATATCGCATGTCTGGGCAGCCCACCCCGCCCAGGAGCGTGCGGATCTGCTGCCGGGGGCCCATCGCCGATCTCTCCGCCATCTGTCGCCGATTCCGGCTTCCCGCTCCCCCTCCCCGGGCCGGCCCCTTCCCCAAAGCTTAAGTCGGGCCTGTCCCTCTGAAGGAGGGATGTTCAAAGATTATGCGTCAACATTTTGGGAGTTTTTTTTTCTTTATTATTATTATTATTATTAGTATTATTTTTATTTAACAAAAATCAAATCAATATTAAACAAATAAATAAATAAATTTCGCCCCAAATCCCCCTGTACGGGGACATGCCCGACCTAACCCTAAGCCAGACAGCCTCCGACACGTGTCTTCTCCAGTCCGCGGCCCCAGAGCTCCCGACCGCTTCCCCCCCGCAGGGGTCGCCTTTCGCGTTCCGGCCCGGGTGCGTTCCTCGTGGTGCGGGGGCCCTATCCCAGACATGATCGCGTCGTAGCAGTCGGGGGCGGGAAAGAGGGGGGTGATGACTAAGGGGGGGTGGATATCATGGCGCGGGCTATGATATTTCCCCAGATTTCATGGCGCCTCTTCTTGTTTCGTTACGCCCCTGGCCCCCCCGCTGGGCCGCGCACGTGCCGCCGGTCATGATTTGCCCCCCCCCTCTTGGACACCCCCCTCTTGGCCGCTCCCGATATCCCAGACATGATCGCGTCGTAACAGAAATCAGGACGGGAAGTCTTTGGCTGTTTTCGGCCTCGGGGGGCCCTCGCCGGGCCCCGGGACCGGCAAAAAACGACCCATAGGGTGAAGAACCGGCCCCGGGGAGAGGGTCTGGACTCCTGGGGACGCCGTCCTGACAAAATCAGGGCGCCGCATGCCTGCGGAAAAAAACACAGCGGGCCTCGGTGCCCGAGGCATCGAGGAGCCGCGCCCGTGGACCGAGACCAACAGCAGTCCAGCGCGTCGGCCCCTGCCTCGGGCCGCTCCCCTCCCAGCGTTCCGTCGCCGCACCTACGGCCGCTTCGACGAGACGTCCGCGAGCGAATCCTCCTCCTCCTCCTCCTCCTCCTCCTCCTCCTCATACTCCTCCTCCTCCTCATACTCCTCCTCCTCCTCCTCCTCATATCCTCCTCTCTCCCTCCTCCTCTCCTCCTCCTCTCTCCTCATCCACTCCTCCTCCTCCTCCTCCTCTATCCTCCTCCTCCCCCCCATCCCAGGCGAGGGTGAAGAGGGCCTCGGAGTGCCCCGGCCCCGGGCACTACGACCCGCCGGGCGCCCTCGGCCGGCCGTGGCAGTGCTCCCCCGCGCCCGGGAAGAGCTTCGCCAGGCGCCGGCCGCGGGCCGCGGGCCGCGGGCCGGCGGCCGCGCCGGCCGCGCAGTAGCGGGGCGGGGGGCCGCCAAGGGCGGCGCCGCGCGCGCGCGGGGGAAGGCCTCCCGAGGAGGCGCCGCCTCCGCGAGCGCGGCGCGCCCGGGCCGAAGGCCCCGCACCGGGCGCGTGCCCACCGGCGCGCGGAGGGCCTGCTCGTCGTGGCGCCAACCTTGCAGAGCGGAGGTCGCTGGGAGAGCAAGGGGGGATTGGAGCAGTGGCGAAGCGTCCTGGCGTGCCTATGGGTCTACCAGACAATGTTCCAAGAACCTTTTTTGTGGTTTCCACGAGATGTTCGAGCATTGCTGGCTGGGACGGTCTTGTCTTAACACATCCGGAACATGTTCTAAGAACCCTGTTTTTTGTTCTTAGAACATTTCTGGGTTCTAAGAGAATTTCGTGGTAGGCCTATAGACATGCCGGGACGCTCGGTCCCTGCTCAAGGGATGGGCCCGGATGGTCTTGGGGAATGTCGTTCCAGATTGAGATCCACGCAGAAATCTGCCGCATCACGTCTGCAAGGTCGGTGCAATGGTACTCGCAAACGTCCGAGCACACACACGCATGTTTGCCTCGACCCGAAGAAGAAAAAACGGCATGTAAGCATAAATAATTTTTTGGCGCTCCGCACGGATCTCTTGGGCCTGCGCTGGCCCCCACCCTTGGCGGCGCCTGCGGCGCCGTCCCTGGCGCGCTCCGCGCGTTAGGGAAGGGGGTCCAGCGCAGATCCAAGAAATTCGCGCGCAGCGCCAACAGTTTATGTTTATGCTGTTGTTGTTGTTGCTGCTGCTGCTGCTGCTGCTGCTGTTGTTGTTGTTGTTGTTGTTGTTGTTGTTGTTGTTGTTGTTGTTGTTGTTGTTGTTGTTGTTGTTGTTCCTATCGACGTAATTGATCGTGAGTCCCTCGCGGCCGATCCAGCCCATTTGCGAGTAGTTCCTTCTGCGAGTCGTGGGCCGCGTTCGTCGAGCCCCCGCCGTGGCGCGCCGGTGTGGCGCGCACCCGGCCCGCTTTCCAGGCCGGGCCCCCCCCCAGCGGGACACGCGGTCCCTCTCCAGGATGGCCGCGGAGGTTGCTAGAGGGATATTTTCAGACGTGCTCGCGCCTTGAAAGATACAGGAAGGGAGGCGCAGGCCTCGGAGAAAGATAGCGAAAACTCATGCCACATTCACCTGTCAACGCCTCCTCCTCCTCCTCCTCCTCCTCCTCCTCCTCCTCCTCCTCCTCCCCCCAATTTTGAAAGCTGGCGGTGGGTCTGATGAGGTGTACCTCGACCGCAGTCTCCCCCGCGCGTGCCAACTTTGAGTTTGGGGGGGAGGGGGAGTGTTCAGTGTAGTTGTTTCCCTCTGCCGTATCTTCAGGCATGCTCGCGCCTTGAAAGATTCAGGGCGGGAGTTGTTTGGCCGTTTTCGGCCTCCGGGAGCCTTCGCGCCAGGCCTCGGGGCCGTCAACAAGATTACGTGGTCCCGGGGCAAGCGTCAGGACCTCCGGGGGCTCCGCATCAAACAAAACCTATCCAGCTGCTGACTGCAAGTGCCGCCACCATGCCTGGGTTTTTGGGCATGAGGCCTGTTGGATGTTCGTTGGGATCTCGCGGGACGTCTCTCGGGAGCTTCCTAGAGGCAGTTTTGAGGCCTCTTGGGGGCCTCTTTTGGGGCCTCTTTTGGGCCTCTTGGGGGCCTCTTGGGGGCCTCTTGGGGGCCTCTTGGGGGCCTCTTGGGTGCCTCTTGGATCCTCCTGGGGGCCTCTTGGGTGCCTCTTGGGGGCCTCCTGGGGGCCTCTTGTGGCGGAAGGCTCGGTTTTTTGGTTCGTGTTCTCCCTCTTGGGCCTCTCTTGGGCCCCTCTTGGGCAGTCTTGGGACTCTCTTGGGCCTTGGGCGTCTCTTGGGCCGTCTTGGGGCGCTCTTAGGCCGTCTTGGGGTCTTCTTCGAGGCCTCTTGGGCCGTTTTGGGGTGGTCTTGGGAGCCTCTTGGGCCGCCTTGGAGCGTCGGAAGGCCGAAAGGACGAAGCGCCAACGTCTTTCAAACAACTCAAGGCAAACCAACGACTTTTTGACTCTTGGGACCCTCTTGGGAGGCCTCTTGAGGGTGTCTTGGGGCGTCTTGGAGGCTGCCTGGACCATCTTGAGGCCTTTTTGGGCGTCTTCGAGCGATCGTTCGGCGACTCGGGGCCCTCTTGGACCGTCTTGGGGGCCTCCTGGGCCGTCATGGAAGCTGTGGAGAGTCCCAGGGAGGCGCCATGGCCTCCCAGGGACCCCCCGGGAGTAGGGGCGATGCAGTCGGGTGGGTGTGACCAGGAGGATACAAGTTTCCCGTGGAAGACTACAGACCCCAGGAGTACGGGCGACGCAGTTCGTAGAACTGGGAGTAGGAGCAGGAGTAGGAGTAGGAGCTGGGACTACAGACCCCAGGAGTAGGACCAGGAGTAATTAGGAGTGGGAGGACGGGGTCTTTCGTAGAAGAGTGCAGAACTTTTACCAGGCGGCCCTTGGCACTCTTCCACGGCTCAGCGTGCCGCAGGTACGGCGGCGGATCTGGCCCAGCCTGGCTTCTTATGAGAGGGTCACGGTAACCCCATGTGGACCAGGGGGGTTCAAGATCCGGGCTAGGTGGGCTCCGCCCACTTGGCAGAGCTATCGAACCCCCCAAGACTCTTGGGGCATCTGTAACCCACATCTAAGCCAGGTTGGGCCCGATAGAACCACCTTGGCACCCGCTCAGAGCCCCCGGCATGCCTTTGGCACCCTCCGCGGGCATCCCAGTCCAACGTGTGGACACGATCGAGATCGGAGGCTTTTCGACGTTTGCTGCCTCCGGGCCGCGGGGTCCTCAAAACACGACTCGGGATGGAAGACCGGGCCTGGGGAAAGCTCCTCCGCCTCCTCCTCCTCCTCCTCCTCGTCCTTCTCTTTCTCCTCCTCCTCGTCCTTCTCCTCCTCCTCCTCCTCCTCCTCCTCCTCCTCGTCCTCCTCGTCCTCGGTCGGGTGGCCCCGCGGCCGCACCGAAGGCCCGCTCTGCAGGCCCGGGCTCCCGCGGGACACCCTGGGGCCCAGGCGTTGCGCTGCCTCCTCGGGGGGCCCCGTCTCCGAGGCGGGCACTTAGACATGACCACCGCCTGCAGGGTCAGTTTTCGGAGCCTCGGCAGGCGGTGTATGTGGACATTTTCGGGGAGGAGGAGGAGGAGGAGGAGGAGGAGGAGGAGGAGGAGGAGGAGGAGGAGGAGGAGGAGGAGGAGCTCCGGGGGCCGAAATGTATCCATATCCGCCGCCCGCTGGGGCACCAGGACGTCGGTTCCCAGGCGCTGGATATGGATAGATCCTCGCCTCGCGTCGTCCGTCCCGTGCGGAAGGCTTCCCTCACGGTAGGTGAGGAGTACGCCCGATGGGTCTCACGCATGGAAGAGTTTTTCATCCTCACGCACGCCGTGCCACCGCACAAGCGGAACGACTACCGTGGGCGGGGCAAGGCTCGAACACTAGTTCTCAAGCCCGAGGCGCAAGGAGCGACGTTCATCTCAGCATCAGATCCAGTTGCCCATTGGTGGGCCACAGTCGCGTTCCTCTTGGAAGAGATAGTCAGGTGCCTACCGAAAAAAAGGTCCTCGTTTTGAGTCTCTTTTGGCCAGAGTCCGAGAGCTAGCCAGCCAACTTCCCACCTCGTCCCTCATGCCTCTCTCGTCTCGCCTCTGGGGTATCTGGAAGGAAGGGCTGGGGCACTTGGACAAGGCCTCAGATGGAGAAATAACAGACTTCAGTTTTAAGGCGAAGCAGAACGCAACTCGTGCTCACAGAGCGTTGCAGTACATGAATCAGCAGAGTTTCAAATAATGGGTGCTGAAGCAGGCTCTTGCTGGAGGCAAGGGACTGTACACCATGATCAAGCCAAAGAAGGTTTTTGTAGGGGAGGTCCGTTCTGGAGCCGCCTCTGCGCCAGACGCCATCAGCCGAATCGGACTCAAGGAGGGGGTGTGGGGCGCCAAGTGGGGGGCTGGGCGCAAGTGCACCTCAGAGGCTGTTCTTTTATGGCGAGAAGCGCAGAGGCAGGCTATCCAGAACCCACTCCCGCCGCTAGAGCCAGAGCATGTCCAGAAAGTTATCGCCAGAGTGCCAAGTCGAGCCAACGGGATAGATCAGTGTAACAAAAAAGATTTTGCCTTTCTACCGCCAGCAGCCATTCAGCAGTTGACAGACCTGTATAACGCCATTGAGGCGAGAGCTTGCTGGCCATGGCAGCTCATGACGGTCCTAGTCATGTTGCAAGTCAAGACTCGGGAAGCCGACAGAGCAATTGGCTTACTGCCGTGGCTCCCACGCCTGTGGGGCAGGCTCAGACATTTTGAGCGAGCCGAGTGGTGCACAAGGCGAGCAGGTCATTGGGACACAGCTGTAGCTGGGTCATCGGCGCTCAGGGTAGCTGTGTGGAGAGCATTTCAGGACGAGCTTGCAGAACAGTCAGTCATACCAGATTTAGTGCACGCAAGCCTGCTGTGGAACGTACAAGGCTTCTACGACTCCCTGTCGTGGGAGCTTGTGCTCTCCAAAGCGCTTGCATTAGGCTTCCCAGCGATTTACTTAGCGCTCGAACTTCAGATGCGCATGTCGCCTAGGTTTTTGAGGGAGGAAGGATGTTTCTCTGAGGCGATTCAACCCAGCTTGTCTCTCATCCCAGGCTCGACTGGAGCTGTGGATCTAGGCAGGTGCGCGCTCTATTTCATTTGTGAGGAAGTGGCCAGATGCCCTCCTCCAACGCCAAGCCTCCACACCTGGGTTGACGACATCGTGCAACGATGTGAGGCACCGAGGCAGAGACTTGTGGACACACTTTTCAAGGCAGGGCAACAGCTGGTGAATGGTCTGCATGCGGTCAGCTTAGCGACACCAGATAAATCGTGCGTCATCTCATCGTGTCCTCAGGCGGCTCGTGAACTGGCCCAGCGCTTTGCAGCAGCCAGCATCAGCATCCAGGTGAAACCGAATGCGCCAGATTTAGGATTGGATCGAGACAGGATAGCAAAACGTAGA